TCCATTATATAATTTCTGTAATAATGTTTGTGTCTTGTCGTGTTGGCTCGGATGCATTTTAAATTGGGTTTGCTTAAGCACTGTGATGAAGGAAATGCATAGCAGATCCGGTTTTTGCCCTCTTTTTGCTTTCATCTGACAACCTTGATTGATTTTGCCCGCCATCATAGGAATGTTTTAACACTTAATGTTTTCAGAATTAATTCTTGTAAGCGACCTTGGGCTTTATAACTGTAAATGTTCTGTTAAGCAGATTTATCCAAGACAACATGATAATTTCCCTTGTCTGTTATTATCAATTTTACAAAATAACGCTCTCGTGTTCTATTTCCTTGAATCTAATGGAACCAGAATCTCATTTGAATGTTCTATTTTTCATTTGAAATTCGCACGAAGTAGCTGATTAAGGAATTTCAAAGAAAGTGAGCTCTGTCAAAAATGACACTTTAAAATCCAGTTAAAGCAAAACTGCGACTGCTCGTATCAATTTGTCTGTGGTGGCAAAGTAGAAGAAAACCTACAGAAACCGTTCATCGTTTGGATAGCATGGAACGCTTAATTTTCACAGACTTAAAATCAATAATCTTCCAGTCGACCACTTTGTGTGCGTATTAGAGTGAAAACAGTCCCAGTTCTTTCTATGGAGACAGAGATGCACATTTACTGACGTATCTCATCATTTCACCATAACCATATCTTCATCCACATCGGTATGCGCTGAGGTTGCTGTTTTCAGCATGGATTCAAGGATGTTAAAATACCGTTCTTAAAATAGCGATATCCCCCCCTATATGAGCCCTGTGGAGGAGGCGAATACAGGCAGACATAGGGCGATCCCATCTATTTTACCAGGATATTCATCTCGGTCAGTGTAAAGGCTATTCTTCACTGCCCGAGGTTTGTCCTGTTCCAGACAAAAACGAATTATTCTACAGTAATGTGTAAATGTCGGATATAGATAATGAACATTAATTTTTCAGGCAGATGTCATGTGTCCAGTCGGGAACTGGACGATGTTATCCTGCCTCCGCTATGTGAAGGCAGATAACTGGTGATTATCGCCATAATAAGACTTTACCGCTAATTTAGAGGATGACCGCGGTGATATGACCAACTCGAAGACAGCGTATTGACGCCTAACGCTTTATTCTTTGCGTGTGTGTGTGTGTGTGTGGACGTGTGTGTGTGTGGACGTGTGTGTGTGTGTGTGTGTGTGTGTGTGTGTGTGTGTGTGTGTGTGTGTGTGTGTGTGTGTGTGTGTGTGTGTGTGTGTGTGTGTGTGTGTGTGTGTGGACGGACGTGTGTGTGTGGACGTGTGTACATGTATATCCACACACGTGTGTAGGGTGTCATTCCTTATTTTGACCCTCTCAAGGAAGGTCGGTTAAACTCTCTCCATTATTGCTGTCAATCTTATTGATTCTGCTAATCATACACTGGGGATGTACTTGATTTCATTCATTGTTTGTGGATGAGCGACGTCTACGGGGTATTGGCATGCTGAAACTGACAGGAGTCAGCGTGCAGTGGCCAATACGTTAAATGTTTCACAGTCTGTGATTAGCAAACTATTGAACAGGTACCAACAAACGCAACATGGCTCACGTTCAGGGCGTCCTAAGTCAAGGACACGACTACAGGATCGATTGATCCGAAACCAGGCATTACGAAGTCGAGCTCAAACGGCGAATCAAATTACTGAGAACTTTCATCAGGCTTCTTGAGTACGAGTTATGGGACAGACGACGAGGACTCGTCTCCATCCAGCTCATCGCCATGCTCGACGGCCACGTGTTGTGTCACGCCTTACAGATCGTCATACATCGATTGTGTATACAGCGTCAAAACTGGTTAACCGTCGCTGGTCACGTGTCGTGTTGTCAGTGAGTGAGTGAGTGAGTGAGTTGGGTTTAACCCCGCTTTTAACAGTATTCCAGTTATATCACGGCGTGTCAGCTTAATGTGGGAGGAAAGCCCGAAGTGATGCAGGTCTCAGACATTTAACACTTCGGTGAAACCCACGAGCACGGGTATGGTGCTGACAAACCTAGAAACATAATCGGGGCGAACCGGGATTCGAACCCACAATCATAGGTTTCTGGCGTGCCCAAGGGACGCAACTCTGCACAGCGAATCGCGGCGCCTTAGACGGCTGGGCCACCCGTGCCCCCGTCGTGTTGTCAGATGAGTCCCGATGCACTTTGCACGTCCTTGATGGGTGTGGTCGTGTTTGTCGACAGACAGACTCCCCCAAATTGCCATTGGGAGAGTTATCTGCAGTATGTCTCGTCGAGAGAATGAATGTTTGACAAATCGTGACGTAATTACCCACCACTGATCCAAAATCGTCGACTTTGAATTTAAAAAAAAAAGTAAACTTTTTCCCATCATAGCATCATTTGAAAATGTTAGTGTGTGTGTGTGTGTGTGTGTGTGTGTGTGTGTGTGTGTGTGTGTGTGTGTGTGTGTGTGTGTGTGTGTGTGTGTGTGTGTGTCTGTGTCTGTGTGTGTGTGTGTACATGTGAGTGTGCGTGTGAGTGTACGTGTGTGCGTGTGGGTGTATTTGTGTGAAAATGTGCACCCGCGTTTTTGCGTTGGATCGTTGACCTTTTTTATATTAAAACTAGAAATACATCAGCGGCATTATTGTTCTGAATGTTGTTCGTTGTTAAGGAACCCAGCAATCAGCTGTTGGTACGTGACTTTGGTGCAATCAATCTGCAGTTTCCCTTGGCTCTTTGTTCGTCGGAAACATTAGCCCCATGGCCAGGAAAACATAGGATGCACACAACAAACTGTTAATGGTTTAATCCATACATTCTATTTGGAACACAAAGCCTTCCAGAATGGTTTGGGATTCCCGGTGTGGGATATATGGTGCATTAAACATGAAAGAACCTTTAGAAACTTTAATATTGATATGGTTAACTAATTTTCAGTGATATCAGTCAATCATGATACCGATCACATCCGGGCATGTAGACACGCCGACAGCACACCGCAACTACTAACATGACGCAAAGTGGACGGGGACAAAAACTAAGCTGGCAATAGCTACTTTACTGAGACTACTACTACTACTACTACTACTTGGGAGTTTGCTAAAATCTGCTAAAATAAGCGCTACCATAAACCCCACGCACTCATTCAATCATTTCATTCTTCCATTTTTATTTAACAAACGGAAAAATGTAGCGGCCATAAACTATCAAAGTCCCGTAATGGGATTCGAACCTTCTGATCAGAGGACGGACGCCTTGTCCACATGACCAAAGAGGTTAACCCTGTCAGAAAGCTGACAAGGTAAGGATATCATCTGTGGGATAACACAACGCCCTGCTACAATAAGAAGATAACTGGTGTAACATGAGTTAGTTAGAATCGTTCCAATATAAGAATCAATACATCACATGAAACTCGGTTCAAATTAAATCCCTTATCGTATGGGTTATTGGTTATTATTTATAGCGCTACCACGGATGTCTGATATTGTGTCTGTTACGAGACTATGGGCATTACGGTAGGCCTCGTCTGTACAAGTTGATGTTGTGTTCACGTCAAGTCATAAATATACATCGCGTTTGCCTCGCCAGTCCGGCCTAAGCTGCTTGGGATTAGTCAGGCGTGTATCTGGGAGCAGGACAGATCACCCAAGAGACTATGTTCTTCATGTTGGCAAGAAACGGAGTGCTTGTTCGTTATCATGTCTCAAGAGCGGTTGTATTGCACGTCTCCCGGAATGGTTATTTTTCATTTCTCGAGACGACGACTCACCAACAGTAAGAAAATGTATGTGTGAACCAAAATCCCTTCCTTGGATTACCATTAAAGGACAATGTCAACGTGTTGCTCAAAGATATGCACATCGGAAGTATTCGGTCTTATTTCCTACTTTTGAAAAAAAACACACTTGTCGGCAAAACCCCCTCAGCATTTGTGTTTAACATTACAGACCAGACACCCACGATGACAGTTCCTTTGACACTGATCCAGAAGGCTAGCCACTGCACGCTCAACATGGGCGTAATTGAAAAGTCATACCAAGTCTTTGGTATCACATTCCTCGCAGTCGGACGTAATGACATAAACTTTTATCGAATTAGTCATCCACCAAAGTCACCGACGTAGGTTCCAGCAGGCATATGGCGCATCTCTATAGCGATAATAATTCATATGATGTTGGACATTACATCGTTGAGTCTTGTGAGACCCGCTCGTGCATGCCGCAGTTAACCAGAGGGAGGCCAATAAACTTTGAAAGTACGCCACATTAAGTGAGCTCCCACTTCGAGGGACAAGATATTCCATCATAATGGTCACTAACTGGTCCTTTGAGATTGACAGTTCAGGATTCAGATGTACCATATTCAATTATTCTGTTTGATACCTGTGAGATATACTGCTGTAACAAAGTTGCGATGTGGGTAATAGTCTGCCTTGAAGAATCCGGTGAAGGATCAATTTAGGTTTTGGGAGATCATTACATTACATCGCATGTATGTGGAGGCAAACGGGTATTCATTAAAATAACACAACTTGCTTCCAACACATGTGACCTTTTCATCAGTTCTGGAGTAAAACAATGTGTCTAAAATATGTGAATTCTCTTTGTAACATTCATCATTCGTTTCTTTCAAATGTCCAAAAGAGAATTAGACAGACATCATTATTGATTTGTACACGTGCATGAATATTCCTGCACACGTGCAATGGTTGTATGTATATGACATATATTACCCATTCGTATTACGTATAGACTATGTCATTTAGAGGTTTAGAATAGGGGCCCATACAGACTATGTGTTATGTTTGATCCCATTTCAGTCATGTCATAGATGTCTTGATACACTTGTGAAATAATATTTTATGTCTCTTATTTTTCTTAAGTTCTTAAGCCTGTCAAATCAAAGATCATTTTATGCGTACGTTTAATTCTCAAACCTAACAATATTTATTTCTGTCTTGAATGCATTTGGTATAAATCTTCTTTTATTTTTCAGATATTAAAATCTCCGGTCCCAGTTACGTGGAGAAAGGAAATGCATTGCGCCTTGTGTGTAACGCCACAGGAGATGGGTATCCCCCCGATGGCATTGATTGGTTCAAGGACGGTCACAAGATCACTCAGGATGACCGACTTCATATTCAGATCGTTATGTCTATCGTGGAGAGAACCATAATAAGCTCGTTGTATATCAAGAGAGCCAAGATGACCGATGCTGGGACGTATGTTTGCAGAACATCGGATCTTCAGATTACAAGCACCAAAGTCGTTATTCTCAATAGTAAGTTGCCCCCATATCGGCTGTAGTCGTGCCAAACCTTGCCACTCAAGACAGGCTCCATTTCCCGTTATGATATCTTATTCTGATGGCTATTCACAGTCACCATCAATTTCCCATTTTCACGTTTGATATTCACCTTTTAATGCCCATTCATGATCTAATGTTATCTGTTGAGCCAGTTGGGTGGGTCTTCAAGATGACGAGTATCTGGTAAGATCAACAGCGTTGACTCCGAGCTGTACGCCCCTAACTGAAGTTGATAATACTCTCGTTTCTTACCGCGTCACGCAGATACAACATTTGTATACAGCTGTCTTCTCTATCTCTCATATTGATTCTACCAGAAGCTGGCAGCCAGACTTACTTTAGTGCACCATGGTTTAGGGAAGTTGCCAAATTACTTCTGTTGTCGCCCAACAGGAACCTGTTAATGGGAATTATTACGACATTATCAATACGAATGCAAGGCGTAACAGTATTCCTCGGCTGTCTAAATCATTGACGTTAACATAATAATATTCCGCGATTGTATATGACGTTGACGTTATTCCAGTATTCTCCGTTCGAGTACGACATTGGCATAATACTGTTCCTCTAGTGAGAGGCGCTATAGGCAACCCCAGTTGACTGCTATGACTCTGGTATTTTCCCCATTATATTACTCGCCGACTATGTAACATTGAAGTCAACATGTGAACATTGCCCCGTGGCACATTGGTATACACGGGTATATTCCCTGACTGTGTAACACATAGCCGTGAACACTGGTATATTCCCTGACTGTGTAGCACATAGCGGTCAACACGGGTATATTCCGTGACTGAGTAGCACATAGCCGTTGACACGGGTATATTCCCTAAATGTGTAGCACATAGCCGTGAACACGCGTATATTCCCTGACTGTGTAGCACATAGCCGTGAACACGGGTATATTCCCCGAATGTGTAGCACATAGCCGTGAACACGCGTATATTCCCTGACTTTGTAGTGCATAACCGTTAACGTAGGTATATTCCCTGACTGTGTAACACATTGCCGTGCACACGGGTATATTCCCTGACTGTGTAGCACATAGCCGTTGACACGGGTATATTCCCTGACTGTGTAGCACATAACCGTGAACACGGGTATATTCCCTGACTGTGTAGCACATAGCCGTGAACACGGGTATATTCCCCGACTGTGTAGCACATAGCCGTGAACACGCGTATATTCCCTGACTTTGTAGTGCATAACCGTTAACGTAGGTATATTGCCCGACTGTGTAGCACATAGCCGTGAAAACGGGTATATTCCCTGACTGTGTAGCACATAGCCGTGAACACGGGTTTATTCCCTGACTGTGTAGCGCATAAGCGTTAACGTTGGTATATTCCCTGACTGTGTAGCGCATAAGCGTTAACGTAGGTACTTTGCCCGACTGTGTAAGACATTGACGTTATAATCGGTATATTTACTGACTGAATGACACATTGCCTTTAATATCGGTGCATTCCCCGACTGTGTAACACATTGCGATTATACTTGTTATTTTTACTGAGTGTATAGCACGTTGCCTTTAATATCGTGCATTCCCCGACTGTGTAACACATTGCGATTATACTTGTTATTTTTACTGAGTGTATAGCACGTTGCCTTTAATATCGTGCATTCCCCGACTGTGTAACACATTGCGATTATACTTGTTATTTTTACTGAGTGTTTAGCATGTTGCCTTTAATATCGTGCATTCCCCGACTGTGTAACACATAAGCGTTTTAACTGTTATATTCCCGGATGATACATCGCTTTATTCCCGACTGTATAATACATTGACTTTTAACGTTGGTGTATTCAAAGATCGTATGTATCACGTCTGAGTGTATACGTATTATTATCAATATATCTCAGTATATATTTCATATAGGGCCGCGTTCATGTTTCGTTTTGATTGCGAAGCTGTCGCAATTTCAACGGATCCCGATAGAGGGGAAGTTTGTTTTGACCAGTAGTGTATTTTGTAATATGGTAATGCAGAAGGCGGTGTTTTGGGGGGCATGGTTCATCGGAGTCAAAATTCTGAAGCTTTATTTCACTCTTCGTAATTTTAATATTATATTGTTTAATTTAAGTGTGAAACACCGGAATTATGTTGTCTTGTCTTGTAGAAACGTACAAGATGGTTTTATGGCGTGATGGATCCAGTGCAACCCTATCTGTGGCTTCTTTTTTTCATACAAGACATTCATTGTCTATTTGATTTATACTTGCTAAATGGTTCAGATTAATGACTTTGCTTTGCGGTGTGATTGTTATGTCCATAGTTGGCCATTTGAGTGCAGCCTATTAAGCCTTTTAACGTGAGTGATACATCGAGCATATAAGAAAGGCAATAATTTGGACATCAGATCCTTACAAATGTGAGAAAATGTGATAGGAGAATACCTTGAAGTGTTGCTCTTTCTGACTATCTAAGCACACGTTATTGCCAAAGCCAAATTCTATTTCAAGACGTTTCAGATCGTATGATGTAGTAATGGGGAGTTATTATGTGTAACGGATAGGGAAATCACTCGAGTAAAATGATGGCGTTTCAGATTCATATGGCTTTTCCCTCAGTTTACTGACGATGGGTATTACTTGGAATGTTTGTTTTATTTTTGACGGCAGTTCTGGCACCAAAGATTCAGTCTTTAATTTTAAGAAAATCGCCCATTGCATTACTATCATTCAAACTGGCGCCACAATACTTTGTTGTTTGACGATCAAATAGACGCATCTTGAAAAAAATATATTCATTTTCACTTCTAACCACATCAAACAATCAACCATGTTAATGACACCGTTCATGCGATTTTGTTTCACATGAAATAAAATGTCTCATTTTCTTCTACTAAAAGCTTAATATTTACATTCGCCAACACGGATCTCAATGTAGCTCTCGACAGGAGGTTGCTGCGTCTTTCAAAACCATCTTCTTCCAATAGGAATACGAATGCAGCTTTGTGCTATGGAGTCTATATTGCCCTCGTCTCAATTGACTACCCCTGACAACCCTAGATAATATATTGCTTAGGTAAATATCACACACCGTCGCCTCAGATACAAATAGGACGATGTATTTGCCCACGTTGTGATGTACAACAACGTCGTTGATGATGGCGTCGTGTGTTTGATTAGGAAGATGAGTGTGACAAATCTGCCCTTCCCAATGAGTGGACGGACGCAGCTTGCGAAGCGTGAGTGAGAAGTTCTCGTGGCTGCAGCTCGTTAGAGGAACCTCAGCGTTAGTTCTGGCAGATTGGTACAGCAAACCCGCAACCTATAATAACTCTGTCTAGCGATAAAAGAAGTTGTTAATGCATTGTATGCATACACTAAGCGTAAGTGATGGTAGATGCCTAGAGCAAGTCCACAACCTATAATGTCCAGCTGTGTAACGATAAAAGAAGTTGTTAATGCATTGTATGCATACACTAAACGTGACTGCTGGGAGATTGGTACAGAACAAGCGACGTATCGTAGAAGTGTCAGTACAGCTATTGGTAAAAGATTTGTAAAATTAGTAATGTAATGTTTGCATACACTAAGCGTTACTGCTGGTGGAGCAAGCTCCAAGACGAATAAGAACTATGAGTTACGGTAAATGTTATATATGCATACAGACGTGAGTCATATCAAGTTCACACCATTACTTGTCGTTGAGAGTCGTTTGGGTCACATGCTGCTAAATTGTAAAACGCTAATTGTGTCACTTACAAATTACTCAAAGCGAGCTCTTTCCTTATGTCATGACATTTATTATTGTTACATATACATAATGGTTAACATGCTGCCAACATATGTGAACATAATGATATTTGATCCTGATCTATACCAATAACATGGTAGAAGGCGTAAGGATGGATTAAGGAAAAAGTATTGTTGATTAATTTCCTCGACTCAATCATTTGATGAGACACATTGTAGTCATCGTATGACATATTGTAGTCATCGTGTGACACATTGCAGTCAATTTGTGACATACTGTAGTTATCGTTTGACATCATGTAGTCATTGTGTGACACATTGTAGTCATCATGTGACATATTGAGTCATCATATGACATATTGTAGTCATCGTGTGACACATTGTAGTCATCGTGTGAAACACTGTGGTCATCGAGTGTCACATTGTAGTCATCGTGTGACTTATTGTAGTCATCGTGTGAAACATTGTAGTTATCGTGTGACACATTGTAGTTATCGTGTGAAACATTGTAGTCATCGTGTGACCCATTGTAGTCATCGTCTGACACATTGTGGTCATCGTGTGACAAATTGTAGTTATCGTGTGACTTATTTTAGTCATTGTGTGAAACATTGTGGTCATCGTGTGACCCATTGTAGACATCGTGTGACACATTGTAGTCATCGTGTGACACATTGTAGTCATCGTGTGAAACATTGTGGTCATCGTGTGACACATTGTAGTTATCGTGTGACACATTGTAGTCATCGTGTGACCCATTGTAGACATCGTGTGACACATTGTATTTATCGTGTGACACATTGTAGTCATCGTGTGACACATTGTAGTCATTGTGTGACACATTGTAGTCATCGTGTGAAACATTGTGGTCATCGTGTGAAACATTGTTGTCATCGTGTGACACATTGTAGTTATCGTGTGACACATTGTAGTCATCGTGTGACACATTGAAGTCATCGTGTGATACATTTCAGTCATCGTGTGACTTATTGTAGTCATCGTGTGACACATTGTAGTTATCGTGTGAAACATTGTGGTCACCGTGTAATATATTGTAGTCATCGTGTGACTTATTGTAGTCATCGTGTGACACATTGTAGTTATCGTGTGACACATTGTAGTCATCGTGTGACACATTGTAGTCATCGTGTGACTTATTGTAGTCATCGTATGACTTATTGTAGTTATCATGTGACACATTGAAGTCATCGTGTGACACATTGAAGTCATCGTGTGACTTATTGTAGTCATCGTGTGACGCATTGTAGTCA